TAATTCTATAATCTTGTTGATGACTATTGGTAATTATTTTAGAAGCCTATTACTACAACGTTATAATCTAGTATATAAAGCTTAATGTTGTGGTATGATTTTAATTGATAAATTAACAGCATTACATTGTACATTATATCATGATGAGGACTTGTCATTTGGTATGCCATTTTAGACTTGGAACCCCAAGACATGGTTTGTGTGGTTTCAAATTACATGTGCATGGAAGGTGTTGAACCAAGAGGGGGTGAATTGGATAAAACTTTGCTTTTAAAAACTTTCTCACACAGTAAGCAAGCAATCAAAGAACAGATAACACAAGATTTACAAGGAAACCCTCTTAATTAGGGAAAACCTTGGTTCTTGGCCTCGGCCAATAAGTAATCCAGTAGTTGTATGTATCTTGTTACACACTCAGTTGTCTCCCTCTTTGCACACACCCATGCACCAGAATAGACAATAGTTTTCACAACCAATACATACACACTAGTACACCACAGTGCATCCACGCACTCTCCCTGTCCTAAGCAACCACACTTGGACCTAATAAGCTCTTAATAGCTTAATCAACAATGGGGTGAGGGATTATGCCTCACTACCATTTACAATAAGTGTCAACACACTAAATACAATGAAGTCTTTACAACAATTAGAATAGGCTAGACAACACAGAATTCCATGTTACTACCTCAGAACTGCAATCCGCTGCATCTATGGTCTGAGAGCTAAAATAGGAAATTCCTTTTGAGATTAATTCATCAGTGCCTCATACAGTCTTCTTTCAATATTGTACTCATGTTCATAGCTTTGCAAAATCAAACACAACATGAGTATATCACAAAGTTCAGTTAAAGTTCTTGGTTTACAAAACAACAGATTTGGCACAGAAAGCTTCGGTACAGGAAGCTTCAACATAGATAGCTTCAGCACAGAATAGTCTCGGCATAGATTAACTTTAGTGAAAAATAACTTTTGCACAGAAAACTAAAAAATCAAAGCATGCCATATTCTTGTTACACACTCAACTTTAACAATCTCGATTCATCAAAATATACTAGCTAGAAGCATATATTACCAAGAAATAGCTAAGTATAATCAAATAGCACTTGAATCCATGATTTCTTCAGAAAGACAAGCTTAACTAGTGACCACACTGTCCAGATTCATTTTTAGCATATTCTCAACACAAACACTATCTGAACAAGTGTAAGAAAATGAATTATATCGGTGTCAACATTCAGAATTGACCACAGCAACTTAAAACACCAAATCACTACTCAATTCAGCCCTTGCATCAGTAACTTTGATAGTAGCCTCATCTCAGTCGTCAGTACACACCTTATAGTGGATTTAATGAGTTTTTCTCGCAATGATCATCATCAAATAGAAAAGAAAAACTTACTTGACATAGTATACTCAAGAGTTCTCAGCGGCAGCTCAATATGCAATGTAAATTCAAGAGGCTTAAACCCTAAGGAGCCTTATAGCAGCATATTTATAGTGACACTAAATTACACAAGGCCTCACACACCACGGATATACACCTGTCACCTCTAGCCAGTGATTAAGAGAGCATATTTCTGATATTTTTCGAGCAATGGACCAATGCAGGCCTGCCACCTCAGCTGATTTTGTCACTATTCTACCAGTTACAACAGGTTACAAGTTTAAGTACTGATTTTCCCTTCTGTCCAAACTTAGCCTATAAGGAATGAAATATTCTTGTATATATCAACTCTCTGGGACCACTGAGATGTGTCACATTCTTCTCTCGGACCAGTGAAACTTGTCACATTCTTAAGCGTAGCTAGAAAAGGCCATACTAAGCAAACGTATATATATATGGAAGACACCTGAGAAAAGATCATAGAGCCCCTGTGAGCACCTGTAGCTAACACCCAAGTGCTGAACCATCTCTATCTGAGGCTGAAGCATCGCAATGTACTATTAACTGAAGTGTTGAACCTTCAATGTCCGAGGCTGAGCATTGCAATGTCTAAGGCTGAGCCTTGTAGCTACTGAACCATCATTGTCCAAGGCTGAGCACCTGTAGCTGCTGAACCTTCACTGTCCGAGGCTAAACCTTCATTGTCCAAGGCTAAAGCATTGCAATACTTTTTGACATTAAAAGGCAAACATTCCCTAAGGTAACTTAGGACCAACAATCTCACCCTTTTGCTTTTAATGACAAAAACTAAATAACTTTGAAATAACTTTTAAAGATAATGGTTCAGTAAGTAGAATAACCCAAATGCAAAGGAATAGTTTGAAACTGTCCTTATTTCAGTCCATTTCTCCCCTTTTTTGACATTGAAGGTCAAAAGATGAGTAGGACCAACAATATAAGTTCAAGAGGGAGGAGGAACAACCCTGAGAAGAGCTCGAAGGGTTAAGAATCTCTGAGGAAGAAGAGGTTTGGTCATGATATCAGCAAGTTGATCTTCAGTAGGAAAATAGGTAATATCAATAAGACCTTTTTGAACTTTATCTCTGAGAAAGTGATACCAGATGTCAATGTATTTGCTCTTCCAATGCAATTTAGGATTCTTACTGATAGCCATAACACTTTGATTATCACAGAAAAGCTTGGGAGGTCCTGAGAATTGAATGCCATGATCTGAGAGAGTAGTTTTCATCTAAACAAATTGTGAACCAACTTATGAGGCAGCTATATACTCAACTTCAGAGTTTGAAAGAGATACAGTATCTTACTTTTTACTTAGCCACGAGACCACATTTGAACCCAGAGTGTAGCAACAACCAGAGGTACTTTTTCTGTCAGGTAAAAATTCACCCCAATCAGCATCTAAGAAGGCTGTAATAGACATTGAAGGAGAGTAAATGTAGAATAGACCACATGAGATGATACCCTTGACATATCTGAGGATTCTTTTGGCAGCTTGAAGATTATAAACCTTTGGATTACTTTCAAATCTGGCCACTAAACCCACTGAATACATTATATCAGGCCTTGAAGCAGTAAGATACAGCAAACTACCAATGATTGACCTATAAAGTGTTGAAGGAACAGCTTTGGTGGTGCACTCCAATGAGAGTTTGGTATTAGGACATAGTGGTGTTGAGACGGCCTTATAATCATCCATTTTGAACTTTTTAAGTAGCTCCGAGACCTATTTTTCTTGAGAGATGAAGATTCTAGAGGAAGTTTATGTAATTTGAAGGCCTAGAAAATATCTGAGAGTCCCCAAGAGTGAGATTTCAAACCTTATCTTCATGAGATTGGCAAATTCTAAAGCTAATGAGGTGTCCGAGCCACAAAACATGATATCATCAACATAGATTTACAGGATCAAAAACTGTTCTTAATGAGTTTTTACATAAAGAGTATTATCAACCTTGCCTCTGTGAAATCCTTGTTCAACTAAGAACTGATGCAGCTTCTCATACCAGGCTCTGGGGGCTTGTTCGAGACCATATAAGGCCTTACTTAGTTTGAACACACGAAAGGGATACTTTGAATCTTCAAAACCTTCAGGCTGTTCCAGGTAAACTTCTTCATTTAAGTCTCCATTTAGGAAAGCTGACTTAACATCCATTTGATATACTTTAACTTGTTTGTGATAAACAAAAGATAGAAGCATTCTAATGGATTCCATTCTAGCAACTAGAGTAAAAGTTTCGTTATAATCAATTCCAGCTTACTGAGCATAACCTTTACACATCAATCTTGCCTTATTTCTTATTACTAATCCCTTCTCATTCATCTTATTTCTATAAATCCATTTTGAACCTATCACATTCTTATCTTCAGGTCAAGGAACAAGTGTCCAGGTATCATTCTTGTGAATTTTATTAAGTTCCTCTTGCATTGTAGCTAACCAGTCTTTACTTTTCTGAGCTTGAAAATAGGTCTTTGGTTTAATGGAAGACAGCATAGCAAAATGACTGTATTCTTTACCATTTTCAACTTCTAAATCTTTTAGCTTCTTTTTGTTTCTCATTTGAACTCCAACTTGAGATCAACCAATGATGTTCTTAGCTTGAACCTACTTCTGCAGCAATGGATGGGTGATTTCTCTTAGGTTTTCAGGTTCAAGAACTGAGGTACTGGCCTCATTTGAACTAGATGTGTTGCTACTGTCTTCAATAAGTGTTGATTGAGGATTCTCATCAAATTTCACATTGATTGACTTAACCACATTCGAAGACCTGAGATTGTAGCATCTATAAGCCTTGTTTTTTGTAAAATATCCCAACAATATGCCTTCATCAGCCTTTGAATCAAACTTTCCCAAACTATCAGTGTGGTTCAGTATATAACACTTGCTGCTGAACACCTTGAAGTTGTGAATAGTTACAGGTCTTCCATACCATAATTCATAAGGTGTTATGGTTGAATTAGGTCTGAGAAGAACCCTATTTATGATGTGCACATCAGTATTCATAGCTTCAGCCCAAAAACCCTTTGCCAAACCTTTTTCAAGCAACATTATTCTCCTCATTTCTTGAACTGTCCTATTTTTTCTCTCCACGACACCATTTTGTTAAGGTATAACTACAGTAGAGAATTCCTTCTTAATCCCTTTGTGATCACAGTAATGTTCAAATTCTTTCATGTGATACCCCTCGGATTCGAGACACGGATTGATCAGGCACAGGCCTAAACCCGAGGGAATATTAAACAATTAAAGTATTTTAAAACGAACACAGATGACAAAATGAAATAATAAAGATGGAAATAAAACTGAAAGAACATTTAATTATAAAACCCTCCATGCATAACTGAAAAATAAAACTCCAATCCTCCAAAACTCCAAGGTTACAACTTGGGAATCCATTAGTGGACACCTAACCAAAAAAATTCAACTGAAACTGAAAACTGGAAATAAATAATGCTAGAAACATCGAGAGAAGTCCTACGTAATCAGATGGATGTGAGACTAAGATCTATTAGCTGAGAACAAAACTTGTTTTGATTCAAGATCAATCACATTGCATCTTTCTTTATTGAAACAGACTTCCTTCCCACTATCACACAATTAACTGACACTGAGGAGATTATGTTTGAGTCCTTCAACCAATAGAACTTCTTGAATTTTTGGTAATTCTTTAGACTTACTTACAGTAAGAATTCTAACAATCTTAGTTCTTTGATTATCTCCAAAGATAACATTTCCACTATCAAACTGCTTTAAAGAATTAAATTTGGAACCATTACCCGTCATCTGTCTTGAGCAGCCACTGTCAACATACCATTTGTCCTAAGTATTACAAGCTTTAAAAGCCATATACACAAGAAGACTCACAGAGTTCAGCCTTTTAGGAATCCACATCATTTTCGTCTTCACCAATGATCCTTTGTCCTTGACCTTCTGAGCTGAAGCTAAGTCTTACTTCTTGACATACATTTTAGTTATCTTGAAGTTCTTATAGCCGAGGTAACAAAGTTTCTCCTGTTGAAGCTTGAGCACTGCATGTGTTATTCAGTAACTCACCCTTGAACCTTAGAGGTTTTATGAAAGGAAACCATGCATACACTTCACCAGTTGTGGCTTTGACAAATACAGAGTGAGTTTGATTGACCTTCGAGGCTGAATCACGCACATAGCTAATTCCAGTCTTCCCAATTTACTTTATGGATTGTTTCCAGATCTCAACCATCTTTAGGGATCTTTCTTTAAGAATGAGAGACAATTTTTCTTTACACTTCTTGGTAAACCACTAAGTGTTGACTTGAGATTTCAATAGGCTTTGAAAAATAAGAGAAACTGATCATAGCATTAAAAGTTTAAGTTTGAAATGTTTAGTGAGAATTTGTTTGGACTCTAACAATTCTGAACTGAGCCTTTTTATCTGGACTTCTGTTGATTACCTTCACTGCAAGCCTTTCACATTCTTCAAGAATTTCTTTAATCTCAGTGTCACTACCTTTTTCAACTTGAATTAAAGTTTATGGTGTTTTGAAAATTGCCATAAAGAGACCTTCATCTTCTTGTGTCTCCTCAAATTTATCTTCTTCAGGAGCTGAATTCCAATCTGAGATAAGTACTTTTCTACCAAACCTTCCTTTGTAGTTACCTTCCTCATTCTTCTTCTGACTTTGCCTCTTTGAGTTCGGACAATGAGATACAACATGACCAGGTTTACCACAACTATAACAGGTTACATTTTGCAGTTGATTCTTCTTTTTAAACCTGAACTTCCTGAATTTCTTACAAAGGTCTTCTTCAAGATTATCTTAAGACTTTGTTTTAGTTTCTTCAATAACTTCCTTTGCTTTAAGGGCAGCTTCTCTTCTATAAACAGCTAGAATAACAATTCTCATTTCATAGGCAGTGAGAGAGGCCTGAAGCTCGTCAATCTTCATTCCAAAAAGATCTTTGTCTTCGAGAATTGTCACTTTAGGATTGAATCTAGAAGTGAGTGACCTCAGTATCTTCTTACAAACATCAACATCCTTAACATCTTCACCAAGAGCTCTCATATTATTGATAAGGTCATTGATCCTGAAGATGTACTCAGCGACAGTTTCTCTTTCTTCCATCTTACAAACATCATACTGAACTTTGAATAGCTGTATCTTATTCTCCTTAATAACCTTATTTCCTTCATGAGTTACCTGAAGAGAATCCCACATTTCCTTGGCTATTTTACAATTTTTAACTTTAGTAAACTCTTATTGCCTCAAGCCACAGAAGAGAACATGTTTGGCCTTGCCATCATTAGTCACATCCAATTTATCTTCAGTAGTGGGGTGATCAGGATTAAGAATCACAACACCATGTATGGTAGCATGCCAAACATCATAGGACTGAGACATTAAGAAGGCTTCCATTCTAGTTTTCCAAGAATCATAGTTTGAACCTTCAAACCCTGGAGCTTTGTTGATAACTTGACCTTCATCCATTGCTAGGATCAACTGCAGGCTTATTAGAACCTCACAATGTAGACCAAAGCTCTGATACCAATTGTTGAACTAAGAAGGGGGTGAATTGGATAAGACTTTGCTTTCAAAAACTTTCTCACACACTAAGCAAGCAATCAAAGAATAGATAACACAAGATTTATAAGGAACCCATCTTAATTAGGGAAAATCTTGGTTCTTGTCCTCGGCCAATAAGCAATCCACTAGTTGTATATATCTTGTAACAAACTCAGCTATTTCCCTCTCTGCACACACCCATACACCAAAATAGACACTAATTTTCCCAACCAATACACACACACTAGTATACCACAGTGTATCCACGCACTCCCCCTGTCCTAAGCAACCACTCTTGGACCTAATAAGGTCTCAATAGCTTAATCAGCAATGGGGTGAGGGATCATGCCTCACTACCATTTACAATAAGTGTCAACACACTGAATATAATAAAGTCTCTATAACAATTAGAATGGGCTGTACAACACAGAATTCCATGTTACTACCTCAGAACTGTAATTCGCTGTATCTACGATCTGAGGGGTAAACTAGGAAATTCCTTTTGAGATTAATTCATCAGCGCATTATATAGTATTTTTTCACTGTTGTACTCATATTCATCGCTTTGCATAATCAAACACAGCATGAGTATATCACAAAGTTCAGTTAAAGTTCTTGGTTTAGAAAATAACAGCTTCGGCATAGAAAGCTTCAGCACATAATAGTCTCAGCACAAATTAACTTCTGTACAAAACAGCTTTGGCACATAATACTCAAAATTCAAAGCATGCCATATTCTTGTTACAAACTCAACTTTAACAATCTATGTTCATCAAAATATACTAGCTAACAGCATAGATCATCAAGAAATAGCTAAGTATAATCAAATAGCACTTGAATCCAAGATTTCTTCAGAAAGACAAGCTTAACTAGTGACCACACTGTCCAGATTCATTTTCAGCATATTCTCAACACAAACACTGTCTGAACAAGTGTAAGAAAATGAATTATACATGTGTCAACCTTCAGAATCGACCACAGCAGCTTGAAACGCCAAGTCATTACTCATTTCAACCCTTGCATTAGCAACTTTGATAACAGCCTCATCTCAGCAATTAGTACACACCTTAGAGTGGATTCAATGAGTTTTTCTCACAAAGATCATCATCAAATAGCAGAGAAAAACTTGTTTGATATAGTATACTCAAGAGTTCACAGCAGCAGCTCAATGTGCAATGTAAATTTAAGAGGCTTAAACCTTAAGGAGCCTTATAGCAGCATATTTACAGTGACACTAAATTACACAAGGCCTCACACACCAAGGATATACACCTGTCACCTCTAGCCAGTGATTGAGAGAGCATATTTCAGATATTTTTAGAGCAATGGACCAATACAGGCCTGCCACCTTAGCTGATTTTGTCACTATTCTACCAGTTACAGCAGGTTACAAGTTTAAGTACTGAATTTCAATTTCTGTCCAAACTTAGCCCCTATGAAATATTCTTGCATATACCAGCTATCTAGGACCATTAAGATGTGTGTAACGACCCGATCATTTGCCTTCCTTTCCTTTTTCCTGAAATTTTATAAACGAATTTTTTTCGTTTAATTTTCTTTTCTGAGCTCTGTTTCGTGCCGCTTAGCGTCATCTCGAGTGCTTAGAATTGGTTTCTGAGACTCTTTCATGTGGATTGACAACTTCCTTTGAGGACCGAGTCATTTTCGCATTTTTTGTTTTTCGGACACTATGCGCTATTTCGTCTTTTCCATATTCTGTCATTTTTCCTATTTCGTCGTATCTCCGCTGGTCAGTTTTTGGCACAACCTCACTTTTCAAGCTCAGAGTTGGTTTTTGACTTCACGTATCCTTATCGTGAGTGGTTTTCACGAAATACGTATCTTTACTTTTGCAAGAAAGTACTCTGGTTGCTCCCGGTGCCCATAGGGGCATGGATGCATAAATCTTTAGAATTAATTTCATTTCTTGGGGTGTTTTTCATAAATATCTTCTGAAGATATTTTATTTCAGGGGCATCTAAGAAAATATCTTTTGGAAGATATTTTCATTCTGAGGCAGTTTCGTAGTTAACCTTTTTTGTAGGGGCCATTGTGCAATTAACGAAAGTTAATGCAAAATGTCTCGTCTGGAGCCTGGATCCTCGTACGGGATTCATTTTCACTTTTTATTGACTTAAAAATTCATAGAATTCCACTCTGGTCATTTTTCTCCAGTTTCAGAGTTTCTAGACCCGGTTGCCGCCGAACTTGTTAGGGGCATAACTTTCTGCTCGGGACTCGGTTTTTGACGCCGTTTCTTCCGTTGTTCATATTTTCTTATTTTAAATCTTTTTTGTTCATAGATTTTTTCCGTTTAAGTGCGTTTTCTCAAAATCCACTTTTCCGAACCTGGCCAGGCCTTTTCGGGGCACTTTTTGAGATTTCTATAAATAGGTTGCCCTAATTTTTAAAATCAGATTTTCAGACCTTCTTCCTCCTCTTGGCTGGCAGCTATGGGAGCCCAAGGGGCTGCCTTCACTCTTTCATCTCCTCCACTTGATTTCCTTGGTAGAAATCCTTCGGCCTTAGCATTTGTTGTTCCTTTGTCGTGCTCTACCATTATTCCTTATTAGAATTCATTTTTGACAATTTCTTGAGTTTTGATTTGAAGTCAAGTTTGGATTTTCATGGGGCTTTCTTCGGATTCATGTAGATCGTGTTGTCCCCGGCATAGCCCTTCGATTTCGGCTGATTTGGAACACTTTTTTTCAGTGGGGATTTGAGGTCTTCTTCTCAAATTGAGGTAGGAGGTGTTATAGGTTTAATTCTTGTTATATAATATGCTATTGATGCTTATACAACTTGATTGCATGCTTAAATATGAAATCTAGAGATTTTATTATTTAATTTTCTTATATTGGATTTGATTTTCCCGGTTGCTTATGACTTGTTTTAAACATGTAGCATGGTAATATAATGCTCTATAATATGGTCATTGACATATATTAAATTGAGGGAATTTGAACAAGTATTAAAGATTTTATTTAATATTTATCTTGAATAAAATATTAAATCATATGGCCTTAACTAGCTTAAAATTAATATGTGTTAGCATATTAAATAAGGCCTTAGCATGCTCTCTAACATAGTTGAACTTGAAAGTAATTGGAGGTGTTTTGAAAATTAGTAATTATTAATTAATTTAACTAATTAATTTGCCCCGAGTGCACTATTCACTCTATTTGAATTCCGACTTGATATTTTTGATTTACATGCCATGTAGCTTCACATATATTTGATTTAGAATATTCGGTTAGGTTTGAAACCTTTCATTTAATCAAATTCCTTATTTAAGATTTAATCCTCATGGTGATATACAACTTGAATTGAATTGTGGCATGCTAGAAAATTAAGTTTTGGTATGGTTGTTCACATATATTAAATTGGGGTTAATTGTATGAGAATTGTAATTTTTATTTTATATTTAACTTTAGTGAAAGTTTAATTCACATAGTCGTAGATTGAATGAAATAAACTTGTAATGTGATATTACATTAGTCCTTGGCATGTTCTCTAAGATATGTTAAATTGAGAGCATTTGGTTAAGTTTGAAAATCTAGAGATTTTAATTAAAAGAATTAATTAAATTTTATTTTATGGTCCCATTAGCTTAATTGAGGTTTAAACTTGATATTTGTATTGATCATGACTTTTTTACTTGCATGTATTAATTTGGGACTATTTGAAGTTGTTTTAGAACCTTGGGATATAAATTAGCATGATTTAATAAAAGTTCTACACTGTTATTGTATTTAAACTCACGAGCTTATGTTTTCAATATTGAATATATTGTTGTCTTGGGTAATAACTTGCACACTTCATATTTAACATCATTCATGCATAGCGTGTAATGAATCGCACACTGAAGATTCGACATTCATCATATCATATTAGTTGTGGATTTAGAGCATGTACTGTATATGTTTCCAAAATTGGTTGTGCCTGGTAGCTAGTTGATTATCTTGCATATTCCTGTTGATATATGCGTTGTTGCACAACTTAATGATTTTGGAAACTTGGGGATGTCGTTGTTTGACTATGGCTAGGACGTGGTTCTAGTACGGGGGATAGTCCCTCTATATAGTCTAGTGCGCACATAGGGAGGTTACCCATGGGCTAGTAACCCTAAAGTAACTATGTTCTCGGTCTGATCCGGCGTGACGTCCGAGTATCCACTTTGTTTGATTTCGCATTTCATTTTCAAGTTGATAACTAGATGATTTTGTAACTTGTTGTTTCTTGTTTGTCGTTCCATTTTAAGTTACAGGATGTTAACTTTGCGGAATTGTGCTTTATGCATTGTATTAGAAGTTCCAATGTTGGTTAAATTGCATCGATATTGAAAATCGTGTTTTGACGTTCTAATAAAGCTTAGGATTGATCCTATTGATTCATTTATAACATAGACGTTAGGTTACATAACCCACTTCTGTTGTTTTCGTGCTTTAGATTCTAAGCTGATAGCTTTAAGAAATTGTATTTTGTTGCCTTGTATAATATGCTTTTATGTGGTTAGACTGCATTGAAGTAGTAATTTGCATTTTGATTGTTCAGCATGGCCTATGATGATTCCTTAGACTTATTTAGAACATAGACGTTAAGTGACATGATCACTTTAGTTGTTTTTGTATTCGAGATTGCAAGTTAATACCTTT